ATCCAACTCTTTTACAGATACTTTCCCTCCATATAGCCCACATTAAATCTGTTAATGTGTTCTTGCTTGGTTCCTTAAAGTGAAATGGAGCAGTGTAAGTATTTACACCATCATATAGGCTGATATATGAGTCAGTCGTTGTCATAGAAGCTCTTCGTTGACTAGCTCCCCGTCCTTGAAATGTATCACACCTGTGTTCACACTCGAGTGCTCACGGCCGGACGGTCGGACACACTGTTTGTAGCTCGGTGTTATTCATCAGGGTCAAAGTGTCCGTCTCACTTGAGTGACATCTGCTCGAGACAATAATTAATGGCTCAATAATTGATGTGCCCGTCATATTGTCAAGGAGATTATGGAGAGGTTAAGTCAGTCCGTAACGCATGCTAATGGAAGGTCACCAAATAACCTCGGCAGTAGTAAATACTGTACGTTGACTGAGGCGTCCATGAAGTGATGAATGCTTCACTAATAATCATTTGAGTCTATATTACCTTTAAGACAGTAAGCACTTTTGAATTGTTTTTTCATGACAGCACTAGCTTAAGGTTTTTTGAAGGACCAAAACCTCTGAAAAAAGCTTGATTTTATTTTGATGCAGTAATATAAGTTTTGCTAGCAATGTTTAGTTATTGATGTCTAAGGAAAAGGTTTTGTTGGCAATGACAAGTTAAATAAACAGAATGAATAAGGCTTGAACTAAGGGTTATTTAACAATTTCTCTGCCAATTAGTTTTCTATCAATCTATTAATCTGTTTAATGGGTTGCGCTGTTGGTCTGTCAATGGTGGTTTAATAACTTTTTTCCAGCATGTATTTGACAAAATGTTGAACTACCTTTAACCGTCTTGTTTTGGGACTTGTCTTGAAGACACAGCGATTGCTTGTGACTAGCTGTCCACTGTGGTTAGAGGACTACGAACACCATCAGATTCTAAGGAAGATGAACAGTTAGACGGAGAGAGTGATTTTCTGTGTCAGCTGCTTAGTGTGAGTCACAATAACAGGCAATGCTGTCTATATTCATGAGCACTGTGATAACATAACTGTCAGACTAGTCCTTGAAATGTTTTGGATTGCGCTCATTCTGTTCATGTACACCTGTTCTGTCCTGCGCCCGAGTTTTTCAGAGCCAGATGCAAGCCAGCGTCTGACAGTTTGACACTCCTCAAGCTGTGTGTTAATAAACCCAATCACACTGAGGATCACATCATGTTTGCTTCTTGGAATAGTTAGAACTATTACAGGGAGACATGGAGCATACATTCAGTTTGGATTAATTGAAGTCCACTTATTCCACTTTTCTTACTGACATTATTTGTTTCACACTCAAATGATCAGCTCACAATACCAATGACACCTACAAAATGAACTCAAATAAAAAATTACTTCTCTGAAGAATAATATCCTGCTTTCTTTTAAATGGCTGATGACGTACTCTCCTGTGAAAATGCATTGGAGCTTACGGTCTGCATTAAATTACTTGTTTAGTTGAAGTCAGCCATAAATCACACGTGGTGACAGGCATTAAGAAAAACGATAAATAAATAGTGTCCTGAATGATAGTCTTGTTTGATTATGAGGGTCATATACAGGCATCAGTATGAAGACGGTATGGTAATCCTGACTGCAGCTCAAGTCACCATCTGTCTCGCATTTTGTTTACTGCATATTATAGATGTTATGTTTTCAATTTTCAGTCCTGGAACCAAGTGTTAACTGTTTTGTTTTTGTGATTTTGAGGCTTCAACAGCTAGTGGTTTGGAAATCCCCTAGAGTGTGGGTGGACTTTGTATGAGTTCAAATGCATTTTTTGAATTTGTAAAGGGGGGCGTGTTTAAAACTAAAAATGTCTCAAGTTGCTCTTTAAATGAAACTACAAAACATTTAGCTTCTTTCTCTTCACCCCCTGAATAGCAGTAACAAACAATCTGCAGCCGATGATCAGCTAGTAGCAAAGCTGAGATAGAATTTATACCTTAACATTTTGAAAACAATGGCCCAGTATTGGCAAACTTCTTATGTATAATCTGATTTAGGGTTCAACATTAAGACTGTTTATGTCATATTCAAAATGGATGAATATGTCTTCCAAATCTACCAAACTGCTGCCCAATATATATATATAGAGATATATACTGTTTTAAATGTATATATATTAACAATGATTCTGCTGTATGTGTGCATAGGCAGATTTGTGAGTGCTTCGACTATGTGGTCGAGGCTCTGTCATCTCACCCCTTGACTACTGTAACTCCCTCCTGGCTGGTCTGCTTGCAAGTGCCAACCGACCTCTACAAGTTCTCCCACACTACACCACTCCTTCGCTCCCTTCACTGGCTACCAGTGGCTGCCAGAATCCACTTCAAGACACTTGTACTGGCCTGCCATGCTGTAAAAGGATCTGGTCCATCCTACATCCAAGACATGGTCAAACCATACACTCCAGCACGTGCACGTCGCCCTGCATCTGCCAATCGGCTTCACTGCGAAGTGGAACCAGGTACACTTCAACAAAGTCACGCCTTTTTGCTATCCTGGCTCCTCAATGGTGTAACGAGCTTTCCACCGTTATCAGGACAGCGGACTCCACATATCTTCCGTTACAAACTGAAGACCCACCTGTTTCGCCTGTATCTTGGCTAATAATCGCAAACAAACTTTGCACTTAACAATGATATTGCTTGTTTGAAGTACAATTATGTCAGCACGGTTCTTGTTGTCCTTAGTTTGAATCTTTATGGTTTATTGCACTTATTGTAAGTCACTTTGAATAAAAGCGTCAGCTAAATGCATTATAATGTAATGTGTGTAGGTGAATATGTGTGTGTGTGTGTGTGTGTGTGTGTGTGTGTGTGTGTGTGTGTGTGTGTGTGTGTGTGTGTGTGTGTGTGTGTGTGTGTGTGTGTGTGTGTGTGTGTGTGTGTGTGTGTGTGTGTGTGTGTGTGAAACTGCAGATCTAACCAAGTATAATAATCTTAAATTTAGATTATAAATCTAGTTTGTCTTGATTTGGGTTAGGGTTAGGGTTAGGGTTAGGGTTAACCCTTGTTTAAATAGCTTATCTAGTGCTTTATATGGAAGATTTTTTGACTTAATTCAAGTAAATGTTACTTGCCTTGTCTTGATAAGCAACTTTGTCTTTATTTTAGTTATGTTTAACTAGAAACAAGGGACCTGTCTATAAAACATCCACTTCAAGGCTAAAAAGCCTTATTTTAAGCACTAGTATGGCAAGAAGAAAACAAAAGAATTTCAAGCATCAGCTCTGTGGTTAAGTTATTTTCCCAGCTGGTAAAGACAGTAAAAGACACAATTCAAACAAGAAGTAACATCTCTTTTAATGATAATCAAAAAATGAACTGATAACTGTGTGTTATGATGTAATCATCATAACACACTCTCCTAAAGGATATGGACCAGAATAACTGATGATATGCATGACATTGACTCTTGAGGTAGGTGTGCAATCTCTACTCTGTTACTGCCCTGGAACTGGTAACAAGGTGGGGGTCCCTGAGCAGTGAGGACACTGTTGGGAGGGGCTGCCAGCTACTCAGTACCCCCTCCCTCTTCCTTCAAGGAACGTCTCTTTCCCCTGTTATCTGGTCTCTTATTATATATGGCAGTGGTTCTCAAATGGGGGTACGCGGACCCCTAGGGGTACGTTGGAGTACTGCAGGGGGTACGTGAGATTTATTTTTATGTTAATTTAAAAAAAAAAAAAAAAAATGTTAGGAAATGTAACGAAGTTTGAGCAGAGTGGGTTTATATTAACAGAGTTACACATATTTCAAAACGTGAAGTGTATAATTGCAGTTTGCCTCCCTGTCAGCATGACAAAGATCCTCAGTGAAGCACAAGCCCATGTTTCTCACTACATTGTAAGTACAACTTATTAAAAAGATCAGTTCAATGTAACTAATGTCGTCTTAGTGTTATTGCATGATGTTAAAATTGGTTTGCCATGAATTTAGTGATGGATTCTAAACATTTGAAATGTAGCATTTAAGTGTTTCTCAGTTACAAGGTTGTTGTTTTAATAAATCAGACACCGATGGTGCAGCACTGTACTGTACCTCTTTATATAGGCATTTCTTCCCTAACAAATTGTTTTTGCGCTGATCAGGGGGTACATGGCTGAATGTTTTTTCAAAGGGGGTACACTATTGAAAAAAGTTTGAGAATCACTGGTCTATGGCATAAGCAATACTGCGAACAATATCTTAATTTCTGAGGTTGTGGTGCTTTTCATTTATCACACCAAACTTGTTCAAACAATCCATGCCACATTACACATTTAAACATGAACAGCTTAACACACCAAGTATGGCTGAGCGATATGGATAACAAAAAAAAACATCACAATATCTTTGACTTTGATTTTCACACACTTCATCAGATGTGGACGACTATAACGATTGCTCTCAGTGGTGTGTGCAAATTTGGCGCTTGCTGCATTATTTAATGATGTGCTTTTTATATCCCCTGCAGTGAAAGTGTCAGGGATATTATAAAATCACCCCGACCGCTGCCCCCCCACTATCCAGCCAAACTTTCAGTTTGCTGATCCAATAACTGAAATCGTTTTTATTTCACTCTTTCATTTCGCTGTGCACATTCAATATCCCTAGGAGAACCGTTTGATTTTGGTGATCCCACGCTCTCTGTCTTAGCGCAACATTCAGGCCAATTTTGGAAAAAAAGTAGCACCAGTTTATGTACAATTTCCCAAGGTGACATTAAGATTCATGTCGCTTCAGGGATACGCATACTGTCGTTCACCAACAGCAGTTTTTCCATGATTAGCTTATACTCCCTTGGGCTCTGCACAGAACTATTTTTTTGCTTTTGTGCTTACTTTTCAGTTACACAACACTTAATGTCAAAGTCAAATTGCCTAACAAAAACAAGCACAATGCATTTGATCATGTATCCATATTGTTTTTCAGCTGGACAAGCGATTGCTTTGATGAAGGCACTTCCCTCAATGTTTCCTTTCCCAACTGCCCCACCCAAAAAGCTTGGGTCAGCAAGTGAGGCACTATTCCATGTTCTTGAGGTGAGTCTGAGTCAGTATCAGTTAAACTGAAATAAAACTTGATATGCCCTGAGGTTTAATTTGTTTCTACTTTTTGTCTCTACTTTGTTGCTCTCAGCCATCTGAGGACCCCAATACGTTTCTCCAGAAACGGCCCATCACCAGTCCAGTCATCCTAGACTCTACTAACCTCCTCCTGGCTGTTGGCAAAATCCCACTGATGACCCTACCTTGGGAAATGATGCACGAGGCTCCACTCATCCTGATGGGGTGTTTTTACACCTTCCACCTCACCTACCCCAAATGTGTTGCTACTCTCCTATCCGTCATCCAGACTGAGGTACTGAAGGACAGTATTCACGAGCGTGACCTTACTCATTCATACAAAAAAGCAATAGCTGAATGGGCAGAATTCACAAAAAAGTAGAGAACTTGAATTCTGTGTCCAATGTTTGTCAGTTCTATGAGGATGTATATATGTTGAAGAGCTTTGTTCATTTAATAAATGATCCTGTTTGTTATGGACTGACTTAATAAAAACGTGTTTTTTGAAAGAATTGTCATGTTTACTTATTTTAAGAGCATGTGTTCTAATTTAGCTCCCTAAAAACAAGAATTTCATTACATGTAACTTGTTATCGCTTTTATCCAAAGCGACTTACATACTCAATACTGTGGGCAATCCCCAAAGGAGCACTTTGGGGTGAAGTGTCTTCAGGGACACAACGACATGCTGACTGCAGTGTGTGTGTGTGTGTGTGTGTATGGGGGTGGGTGTTTTTCAAGTAGTCCTTAATGTTTCGCCCTTACATATTTTGGGCTTCAGTGAGTCACTTGACAAAACTGCCAGGGTGTTCAGAATGCTACTGGTGAGCAAACCTTTCAGTGACTTTTTGCAAGCCTCCCCTCTCGTTAAATCTTTATCTTTTGGTGCTGGAGCCCAAGAGCAAGAGTAAAAATGTCAAAGCCTTAATGGACTGGAATGTTAATTGAGGCATTTATCATAATGTTGAATCAAAGCTTTTACACGGACATGGACACGGGCTGTCTGGACCTGCACAGCCCTGCCAGGAGTCCCGGGGGCATTGTCAGTGCAGCTCCTATCGAGTTACAACATCCCGCCTGAGTGCTGCAGCCTTTAGGGGTTTCTTTTCTCAACCGTTTCGTAATGAAAAATGAATAACAACTCGATAGAACTAATAGGAGCAATGTACTTCTTTTATGTTACAGTGACAGAGAGCATAAAATGAAGAGTGGATGGAATTTGGCCAACACAAGCAGGTAGTCTGCTTATAAATCTCCTTCCTGTACAGTGAAATGAACAAGGGGTTTTGTGGAAATGAAGACCATATGGATGTGTATATAGAGCAAGATGTAATGGTTTCATAATTGATTTCAATAACACTGAATGTGTTAACATTGCTGTAATTCTTTTTAACAATCCACTCACTTTCTTTTGGTGTAGATATCCAACTGCAATCTTTAAAGGTCATGTGTTGGCCAGTATTTGGAAACAGATGTCGACATGCTCTTTAATGTAACTGTGGGCTTGTAAGTTCAGTACTGCTATTCCTCCAATAACAGTCATAAATAACTTTGGGTTGATGTTTTTACTGATTTTACAGTAGTTGATATTCAGTCATAGCCGAGCAGATAATAAGGAGATAATTGGATGCATTTTTTCCATTGTTCCATTGTTCCATTGTATGTCGCCGTGCATAGGTAAATGTCAAATGTACCTAAGACTGGACTTTTTGGATCACGCAAGCTGAAAATGTCACATAATTATGACTCAAGTTCCGTGACAACGCATTCGCTGGGAAAGAAATCCATTTCAGGATCATAACGAGCTGTGCTGCTTCATCAGGCCTGATGGTAATGACATACAGGTTTTGCCCATTAAAAATGAATTAAATACAAAATAATATTTTGCACCATTTCAGTTTTCCTGATTCTTAAGATACAAAACATGTTTTAATAATGACGTTCTATTGTCTCTCTTTGCAATTTTTGGAAACCAGCACCTCTTGACTGGCACACTCATTATGCATGCCTGCATTGCTGGCATTTGAAAAGTGAGAATCATATTTTTATAAAGTTGTATTCCAGTCATGCTCTCAGTGCGATGATCAGACTGAATCGCCATTTAATTTCAAATCAACATTGAGACATCCTGTTCATGTTAGCTTTGTTCTGTCTGGAAGGGGTTGTGATTTTTTGAATAAAACAAAAAGGTATTATTTTCAGTCGACTTGACACGGATGCTTCAGCAGCATTTGCAAAGAACAGTTACCATTTTTTTGTTTATCTATTTCTTATTTGATCTATTTTGTTCTTTCTCTGTGAAAGTGTTTGATCCAGATTATTACTCTTTCATTTAAGAAATCTAAGAAACTGTGAATTGGACTAATTCCAAGATATACAGTAAGTATATCCCCAAACAAAATTGTATTTCCTATTTTTATTCTTCTAGTTTTATATTATTAATAATGCATTTAATATTACATTGATTATCATCAAGTACAAAAAAGAAAATGCTAAAATACAGTTGTTATTATTATTATTATTATTATTGTTGTTGTTATATTTGTTACAATTGTTAGTAGAATCACCTCCACAGCTTAATGATCATTCATTTTGATAAGTAGTAATTTTTTAATGATATATTATATTGTTAAGTAAATCTAAACATTGTAATTACTCCCTATTGTTTTTGTTTTTGTTTAGTAGCTGACTGACAATTATTTTCCGCTGTTTTTCATCATTTTTACATTCATTGTCTTGAAACATGGTTCAGCTAAGGTTAACTTGATTTCAGTATCAGTCTTGACATTAACTGGAGCCAAGAACTACATTTTCTTCCCCTTTTTGAGTCACACTCAGGAGTAATCTTCATTCCTGTGCTTGCTCAGTTCAACGCCCAGCTGTTCACAGCATTTTCCCCGCTGCCAGCGATGGAGTCAGGCAGTGTTTTTCTCTTGATAGCTCTCCTGAACCGCAGATAGAGAGGCTCCCACATACAGATGTTTGTGATCATTGCTACACTGAGAATAAATGGAAGCGAGATGGAGGCCACAGAGTCACTATTGCTTTTGGAGAGCGAGCCTTCGGTGGAAAGAAGCTCCCTCGTCTGGCTGAACGGCCATCGTTCATGCGTCGGGGAGTTCGGGGGTGCTGCAAATGAGGGATGGATGAATACGCTTCAGGGTTCATGGAAAAGTTCACAAACTCAACAACTGAGTTGAATATGTGCCGTATGAGTTATGGTGTTGTGGTAAATTGGAGTCCCTCCAAAATGTCAGAGTTAAGGCGGATCAGAGCTGCTTTGTCAGTGATGTTATTTCCTGGGGGGAAAAAAGCCATCTGGGCCTTAAGATGTCAGACATAGACTAATTTATTATGTGTGCATCAGTGCCTGTGAATTCTTTTGTAAATGTATGCACTGATGGTTGTGTGCCACATGTATGTTTTTTGATGAAACCTCTGCATGGTAACCACAGTGTACTGCCTCTTTGTCAAATGTATTTTGATAGAAACAGGAAATTGACTGCAGAAACATGTACAGTAACTATCGTGGTTACGTCAATCGGCTGGTGATGGGCTCTGTTCATCTGTTTGTGCACAATGTATCAATGTGGTGCACAATGGAAAATAATTACTTACAGGATTGCCATGTTGCTATGCAGAAAAACAATGCAAGAGACCTATACTAATAAAGTAAAGAGGCATTGGAGTATTGTCAACAACTCCCATTAGAATTCCAAAACTAACGATGTGTTCTTTCTTGTAACCAAACTTTATGAATGTTATTCCTCTGTGTAAAATACTTCTATTGTCAAAAAACCGTTGAACAGCCAAGGGTGCCACAGTGTTTACTGTGGCTGATACGTGTTCCCTCCTTTCAACTAACATCCGCTGCAACTCTGACTACTTTTAAATCCAGGCTGAAGACTTTTCTTTTTGTCGCTGCTTTTAATTGAACTATTCATATCTTAAACTGCACTGTAACTTGTATCCATGTATTTTTTTCTTATATTGTTTATTTTCTTATCTTTGCTTTTTAATGACTGTTTTTAAATGCCATTTTCTTAATGTCTTTCATTTTTTAAAAGCACTTTGAATTGCCTTGTGTTGAAAGGTGCTATATAAATAAACTTGCCTTGCCTTACACTGAAGTTGAATTTGTCTCAATACACTGTCCTGCTGCTGTAAGTATTCAATAGAACCCCTAATGTGGATTCATCCACAAATGAAAATAGTCCCTAAATGCAAAATGTACACCTGTTTGTTACAGATGTGTATTTTCTTACAGTGCCTACATGTTATGCTGTTAAGTGTCAGTCTCCTCAAGTAAAATGAATAAATGCAGTAAACAATCAAGCGTGTTATTATTCCATAGATCATCTGTCATTCAGTTATTCAAATATGAATGGACACGTCTGCTCTGCTTGCTCATTCTAGTTAAATACATTATTACAATGAATAATAACAATAAATAATTTAATAGAATCCAACAGAAATATTTACATCAGAATTACGGATAAGCCTTTGTAAAACAAACACTGCGATACAAACAAAGAGAATGCATATCCTTCAAAACACATTTTGTTAGTAGTTAAAATGGAGTTGAGTTACTAATTTGAAGTACATATTCTGAATTGTAATGTAGTACTCTGTGTGTGTGCGCATCTGAGAGGCACATTCTCTGATAAATGTTGCTTTATGTGCACTCCTTGATGCAACAAAGTTAATATTCTTCAGTTGATAGATTACCCTTACAGTATTTGTATGTATATATATTTTTCAACCCCAATATATTTGAATTAAAACTACACAGAATCCACGGCATTAACAAATAAGGACTCTTTTTATTTGAAATTATTCACCTTTTACACACCGACAGTTACTATACACAAACCTTTGTGGTCCCTCTGGCCCGAGACATGGTCAGTGACAATGGGCCTCATTCACCAATATGAGCATAGAAACTTGGCACACAAAAAAGTGTGGCAAATTATAGACGGATTCATGACACATGCACATTGGTCATTTTTGTATTTAACACAATGCGAATGGTATTAATTCAAATTTGTTTTTGCACTAGAAATTGCTGAGGAAAGCTGATCCTTAGAGGCTAACTATACAAAGCAATGAAAACTAAAACAGTTACATTACATTACACAAAGTAAAAAAAAATGGCACAGTTTGTGCACAGCTTTGTGAGTTTGCAATGTTTATGAATGAGGCCCAATGTGTCCTGGATATCAACTAGAATGGCTTATGGCAGATGAGAAGCACACACACACACACGCTCAGACACATTCAATTACACACATACTTATTCACATGGACAAGCACACATGCAGGAGCACGCACTTGTACACACATACACATATACAGATACAAAAACACACATCACGACAAATACTCTAACAATCTAACACAGTCTAGCCATCTAATGTAGACATCAACAGAGTAGGGGCTTAAAGTGCATACAGGAACTGAGGAGGGCCTTACTCGCTCTTTTATCAGTTACAGCCTTTTAAATTACGAGCGACAGTAATCCTCCACTAAAGCATGATCTTAGTGCCACGCTGTATCTTTAAAAAAAAGCATATCCCTTCCCTATTTGTAGCTCAAACTGTGCCTTGCATCATGAAATAAAGACACTGCATAGTTCACGGGGTTAGTCTTATACATTATTGCGGTACAATGTAGAACCAGGTAAGGGGTCCGGGTGTGATCCGTGGGTTGCAGGTTGGCACAGAAAGCATGTATATTGTAGCCCAGGTCTCTTCAGTGGGATCAGAGAAATTAATCCATCATGAGAGCGCCCATTGCTTCGCCTGGTTTAGCTTTAAATGTGGAATAATCCATGTGAGGAGAGGTTGGGAAAAAATGTTTCCGGATGCATAGGAGTGCAGATGCTGACACGACTCCTTGGCCTGGTCCTGGCGTAGCACATGTTTTGATCCTTAACAGGAGGTGGTGCAGATCCCCCCCCCGGGTCAAACAGGTCAATAAGGGGCAAAGAGGAGTTGTGGGTGGGAGGTCCTGACAGGACCAGGAGCCGGACGGAGCAGTGCAGCGGGGAGGGTCTGAGTCTGGAAGAGGTTAGGGGTCGAGGCGTGGTTAGTAATGTGATTAGTGCGGTGCGTGAAAGAGTTGCTGATGGCGGCCGCCACTGCCGCTAGGTGAGCCGGTATGATCTGTGTGTTCAGAGGACACAAGCGCTCCTTCCCCAGGGACAACTTCACCTTGCAGAGGGAAACAAGATACAGTCAGTACAGTCTATGTGTAGGTTGTGCACAATTATAGCTACTGTACATGGTCTGTTTTGGTTATAATTGTGCTTTAAATATTGTACGCCTTCAAGTAAGATCAACTATGTATGGCTGGTCAATTGATGTACAATAATAGAGACTAAGCTGAACACTAGTAGCTTTGAACTGTTGAACATTTGTAACTTGTACCACATGTCTTTTCTAACTGTCTTCAATCAAATAAAATAAAAGTAATAATAATAATGTAAACAAAAAGGCCAGATCTATATTAAGATTGCATATTCTGCTAAAATTAACTATTATAATAGAAATACTTTCGCCATTACAGATTAAAGCAAAAGTCAGCAAATGGTAAATGTCATCTTAACATTATATTTTTCGAGTCCTGTGAACATGTGGGTGAAAATTAAAGGGGATTTGATTTCAATCTTGCATTTCCATTTCATTTCCATACAAATCATTTGCCAATTAATCTAAACTGTATAAGCAGGAAATTAATAAACTGTTATCTTGATAATCAAGTAATAACTGGAGTCCCTTATTCAGGGACAATGCAAAACAATTCCTATTTCCAGGATCCCCATGTTAATTAAATATTGTGGTTTTTGTACCGTTGGTTGGACAAAACATTTTTGATTACATCACTAATGGCGCATTTCCACTACAGCGCGAAGCGCGGTTTAAGCGTGCCGTGCTGTGCCCGGCCCGTTTTTGGTTGCGTTTCCACTAGGCGTAGTTCCGGCTAGCAGGTACTTTTTCACAGTTTTTCTGGCCCTCCAAAATCGAGATTCTTTCCGGGCTAAACTAGAGAGAGAATCGCTGGCAACTACAACAAAATGAACATATTTTATCGTGATTTAATTGTAATACACGTTTCAAAATGATGCCGAAGTAACAACATACTGATACCGGTTAACAAAAATGAATGCTTTGACAAGTCTGCAGACAAGACGGCAGGCGAAAAACTAGTGATGTGTCGGTCGGGAACGAGCCGGCTCAAAGAGCCGGCTCTTTTAAGTGAACCACGGGAGCCGGCCCGCGTCCGCGAACGAGCCATTTTTTATTTTTTTTTTGTTAAGTAATACAAGACAGAAGGATATGATGATCTCTGCGCTACAGCTGCTCCGTGCATGCATGCAGTGACATGTAATACCCTAGGACTAGAGACTGTTGGATGCTGCTGTTTTGAGCATTGCAATATATTTATTTTCACTATGTTATTTATTTATGATTATCACGGCCCGTCTACACTACAGGCGTCAAAAAATGCTTTCAACGCTTCGCCCATTCATTTGAATGGGGTGACGTAGGATATTTTCAAATTTCTCCGAACTGCATTGTGGGTAGCATGGCAAGGCGTTGCAAGCATCGCGAGCGTCTATTGGCGTCAAAAGTTGAACAATGTTCAACTTTTGAGGCTCGATGCTTGCTCGAAGCTGGCGTCAGCCAATCAAATCCCGTTTTTGCAATTCCCGCCAGTACAAGCGCTAGCCAATCAAACCGCGTGCAAGCTGGGAGAGCCAGACCGCAGTTCATTTCCTCATATTCCAAACGAAAAATTACGGTAGCAAATCACCCGGTTCTTTACGACCAGAACTATTTACCGGGATACAAACCGGAGGAACCAGGCATGGAGGGAGGTGGCAGAGACAGTGGGTGAAACTGGTAGGTTTTCGCCTGTTTGGGGATTTTATATCCAGTTTACTTCGTTTTAACATTGCTATTGCTTTGTATGTCGGGGGCGGGAGATTCATGTGATTGGTTGTTGGTCGCGTTGCTCGCAAAAAATCGCCAAGCTTCAGACACGCCCAGCTTCAAGATTTGTTGATGCCTGTAGTGTAGATGGGCCGTTAGGCTCAGCAAAGATTTGATGTCAGCTGTAGCTGGATTTTTTTCTGTAGTTAATAGTTACTGAAATAGAGCCCTGCTGTTTTGTCAGGGCCTTTTCTTTATATATAATTTTAAAATGTCGATATAGTATCTGCTTTGTGTAGCGTGGTTCTACAAGCAAGTCAGTGCATTCATGGGGTGGTATCATGGTGGTATCAGAGAGTTAAGGGTCTGTAAATGCAATGAAAACATTTGGCCACAGCAAATGATTTATATTAAACATGTAAGTTTTACTTTTTACATGTGCCAGAAATCAGATGCTAATTGCTCCAAGTGTTCAACATAATCTGAGGCACAAAAGCTTGGATCGCCAATAGACTTGTTAACCTCTTTACATCTAATTTTCAAACGCTTAACTAATGTTCCAGCACTTCAGACATAAGAAAAAATAGGGGGAAAAAAGGAATTCCAGACCTCTTTTTTTCTTACAAATGCTGCTTATTTTCGTAATTTTGCTATTTCAAAGTCAAAATCCATAGTAGTGTCCATTGACAAAGAATAAGGAAGAAGGAATGCAAGAATCCACAGAAGGACAACTGGGAAAAAAGCATTCAACCTCCAGAACCAGCCTAATAGGGTGAAAAGGTCATCAAAGTTATCTGGCTTAATCTTCTGTATCAGTAATGGAAAATCTACGGTCTCACAGCACCGCGATGGCAGCCGCTGTCATGGGTTATCAATCACTGACTCAGGCATCGTAACCCTATGGGAGGCATTCTTTGCTCTCCACTCATCAAAGAAGCTTCTCTCCGTTAACTCAGTCAATGATGGGTTTCAGAAAAAGTCATTTCCCCCACACTGGTAACCCCCGCGCATTGTCTCGGCAAACAGTGGGTGTGATTAATGCCTTCTTCTGGGAGCTTCTGTAAGATGGAAAGTCAGGCGCTCCTTTATCTTTCCCACGTTTAATCCACACGACTCCTTTATGCATCCTACCAATCCTCGTCATGTGGCATTCAATTCTCCTGGAGTGTGAGACTGCCGGGGTTCAGTGGCACAGGACAGTGAGTACCAGAAAGTTTAACTCAGTAAAACATTAAGAAAGTCCTTTCAGTTCACTTATCTTATTCTGTGGTTTGAAAACTTGCCTGAAATGAATTTGGTCTTGATGCAGAAGACCACACGCTGAGCTACTCAAAAATAATCAAAACTGACATTTACAATTACTTATAAATAGTATTCGACCCAAGTCTGCATTTCACCTCCAGCATGCTGGCTCAGAGGAGCCTTGATTCATGCCATTTTTGTCAATAAAATATCAAGTTTTCAAATTAAATCCCACTGTCACTGCCAGTGAACTTTAATAACAGGTAACAGGTGAACCGTTTATGAAAGTTGACATGTTATTGAATTAGCTGACGTCAAGCAAATTGAATGCTTATCAAAGAACAGACACTTTAGAGGAGCTGTGCAGGACTTTTAGCTGATAAAGAGAAACATTAAACAGCCAAAATTCTGCATGCAGTTCTTTCCAAAGTTTTCTCCTATTAAAACAAAGCAAACATTTGGGGTACGTAATCGGTATGGGCGCAGACCTATGAGTGACTAGAACAAGAGAATGACACTGAACTCAAATATCAAACAATAGCTGTTTGTCATGGGTTGATTTGTCTGTCTCCAAAGAGGCTCTTAGAACTGAGTCATTGTAATTGTTGTGATAACAGGATTAAAGCGTGCAGTGACTCACCGGCTGGTTCGTCTGTCCTTGCGGTTTGCTGTACGGGCTGTATTTCGGTTTGGCTGGTTTACCTGCTGCTCTGTCTTTATGACGCCGGCTGCTGATGTGCTGAAAAGGAGACAGACATTTTTGTTTTGAATGTTGCAGACAGGTGACAATAGACAGGTAGGGTTCAGGATGTCACTCTATTGTGGTTAAAGCAGCAATAACAATGAATGAATGTATAAACAGAATAGAACAGTTCAACAAATTGGTTTCTGTGTCTAGCTCTCTCTATATTCATGCCTAAAGTCTGCATATACCTGAGTGTAAAAGTACATCTGACTTCATTATAATGAAGGAAAGTTCCCTGTTGGTGTTGCAAGAGGTAACCAATGAGGCCAGGAAAGTGGAGGCAGGAAAGACGTAAAGGTTATTTCAGAAATCAAGCAGTTGCACTGCTTCCTCTATTGTTTTCAGTTGCGAGTAAAAAGAGAAGCAGGCTGGCTGCAGCTATTTGGAACATGCACTTATTTTTGCCTCTTTGCTGAACTATTTGGCCACAGCCACACCGAGGAAAACAATGTGACAGTGGTTCGGGATCGTGTCTAAAAGGTAACCCTACATTTAAAGGACACATGTCATGGCCATTTCCACGGATCATAATTCCATTGTTGAGGTCTACTAGAATAGATTTATATTGTGCAATTTTCCAAACTCACATTTGTTTCTCATACAGCATCTCTGTAAACTACGTGTATTCACTGAATTTCACTCTCTGCCTTTAACGCAGTGGTTCTCAAATTTTTTCTGTCAGGCCCCCCCTTTGGAGAAAAAAAAAAGTCGGGCCCCCCCCAACACAAATAGTCAGGCTCAGTGGCGGCGCCAAATATTTATTTTGGGGGTACTGTGGGGTAGCTTGACATTTCATAGAGGGTGCTCAAACATTTAGGGTTTCCCATTAATGTACCGGGCGCTACAGTGGAATGTTCTACTGCAAGACTCCCCACGCATACACACAGTGTACCCGCAACTGTTACAATGAAGGCTCAATAATCAGCTCACGGCATATAGGAGTAAGCAGGGGTAAAGTGCTATTTTTATAGGTGGTGTGTGGACCTCACATAGGGGGGTCCGGGGGCAAGCTCCTCCGGGAAGATTTATTTTTAAATATTGAAGTTAAAAGCATCAATCTGGTGCACTTTGAGAGCAAAATGAAGAGATCTACAGTATGGATACATCTCTCAACACAGAACTGTAAACAGATTTACTATTTCTTTATGGATATTTTACAAATCACTCCCCTTTTAAACGTTATACATTTTTTAATGTCATATAGTATTTCATAATTGTTTTTAATTTATTTATATTAATGGTGACCAAAACGTTTGAGACCCACTGAGATAACACTGAGAGTCCTTTAGCTCACTGAGTCTCTCAGTCTGACAGGAGAGGACTCTCCTCCACTTTGTTGTTGAAAAAACTCCTTATATCCGTTAGCGTACCTCGCTAGCACCAGAAGCTAACAACAACGATCTCCGGTACCGGTGCGTTCTCTCTCTCTCTCGCTCGCGCACACACACAAAATGGCTCGTTCCACACACACACAGAGCCGAGCTTGAATGAAACACAGACACCCAGACGTAATTGTACTGTACCATATTATTTTCGAATCAATAATTTTTCAAAATATGATTTTTTTTTTTTTTTTTTAAATTGAAAATCTTTTAAAAAATTGTTTTTAATAACCATTTTTTCTCCTGGTCTCTCGCGCCCCCCCTGTCATGCCTCTGCGCCCCCCTGGGGGGGCGCGCCCCCCACTTTGAGAACCACTGCTTTAACGGCTCGTTGTAGCTCCAATAGCTCCAGCCCCCACCCTCCCTGGGAGCACAGTGTGCTCTGATTGGTCGGGACGTGGTGAATCGCGCTGAGCTCCGTGGAGGTGTGGTTTCCTTGTTTAGCAATACACAGCGAAACACAGCCAAACTCACCCTGAGCACACAAAGTCACAGCCGAAGTAAAAACAATAAGTGTGGCTTGATATTGAGTAAGAAAAAGGTTGATAAACGCTGTGAGAATGGGTCTGCAGAGAGAATTTCGCCGCAATCCCAACTGTCTGTTATCAGCCTGCAGCCAGGGAGGAGAAATCAGCAGAGCTGCCTGCCTGCACTGAGTGTGTGAGGAAGTCCGTGGATTGGTCAATTTGAACCAATCAGCGGGGGCTTAACGTAACTGCTCCGCGAACGTAACGTAACGGCTCCACAGATTGGTCCATTTAGTTCCGGGTACGTGCTTAGTTTACGTAATCTCGTACCCGGAAGAATCAAATGGATGATGACGTTTCACCAACGAGGCGTTTTGGGGAGGTATTTTCTGTGTTAGAGTTTTACTCGCTACAGGGTGTACTTTGAGGGTTTTGACTCTGCGCACCGTTTACATGCATACAAACCTTCATAACACACAAGGGGACGGGTAATAACCGGAAAAGCATGACATGTGACCTTTAAGGAACTTTATCAAAATTCTTAGGAAACTCACTATCTGACATCTTATCCTAACCTTAAATTAAAGCTATCTAATTTGAACCGAACAAAGAGACAGATCAATCAGCAAACACAGTCTTTGCGTAGCGTCCTCTTCCAAGTTTCAATATAGTCTTCATTAAACAATGTTTACGATGTTAGTTAGCTAACTTCTTTGTTCATCATGTCAAATTGCAAAATCTCCTTTCATTTAAGATACAAATCACAGTTTTTTGGCTTCCCAATGAGATTAGATTTGATACATGGCAGCAACAAGTAGTGTACAGGTTGATAAAATGATTGTATTCAACAACACTGGGGGACAAAGTGTTGTGCCTAGCTGCCACCTACTTAAAATACAGAACCTGTCCTGATAACAATAAAGATATGGCCCTGGGGTCATTACAATCTGAAAGTTTCCTCTTTTCATCTCATCATTTGGCAATCTGCCAATGTTTATATTGATTGTGGGAAAGATCAGGGGGTCAACAACACAATAAGGATCTATCTTCTGGGGATCACGAATACCCAAAGCAATCCATTTATCAGATTTCGTGATAGCTTGTCAGTGTTGTTCAAAAGGAAGGTTAGTTCCATGGCAATGCTGAAACACCACTTTAGATGTGGCATCTTTCTCTGGATTTTCCAAAGAGAAACTGTGAAAATCCTCATTATCTTTTTATTACAGAGGTGCTGTGATGCTTTACAGTTGCCTGTTACCTCAGCCTCAGGGTGGATGCCATTTTGAGGCAGATAGCTTATCATACGTTGAGGTGGGAACCCAGAGAGGAGGGGGGTGGGGGCAAAACTAAAAATACACCTTCTGTCTCAAGGCCGTAAAGTATTACAGCTCTAAAGGTTTCATTGCGACGGAAACCACCCATGGTGAAAATTACTGCAGTTATGGCACTGCAAGTACAGTGCAGAAAGCATTTAGCATATGACAGATACATATGCTCATGTTTAATACATTTTGTCATACACAAGAGATATGAAGCTTTTCTGATATTTAAAGACCAGAGAGAAAAGTGGATGTGAATAACCAGGTAAAATACAAGAGGCTGGAACACAGAAATCCTCTGTAACATCAAGCCAATAAATAATTCAAAATGGATAAATGTTGACAGTAAAAGGCAGATTTCTGGCTGCGTCTAAATGTCACAAGTCCTTGCAGTGGATTTAAAAATCGCAATGTTCCTCTGGTTTCAAGCTCTAACGGAGATTTGTCATGCTGGATTCTTTTCACAGAGAATCACTGCTGTCTTAAAAGTACTCAGTAAAAGCCCCTCCATGAAAAATTCATACAAAGCCTCTCTATTTTCAGTAAGGGAGCTCAAGGTTAGCTCAGACAAAACCGAGTCGTTTTCTAGTATTGTAGATAAAACTCCCTCTGTGACAGAATGATCAGCAGCTACAAGGAAAGAACATTTGCGGGGTGCCCCAAAGCAAAAACCAGGATACACAAACCCAGGAAGAGTTTTCATCCAGGCCTCAAAAACATCACTAAGAGATAAGTTCATGTCATCCTTCAAGGGTAACCTAATGTTGCTGAACATATTGTAAACTAGAAAATATTTGTCTTATTAGAGGAAAGGGATTAGCAGAAACTTGACTCAGTTAAGTCTATTTATAATGGAGAGACCTCATTTATTGGTTATGTTTGCTTTACCAGATTTCTTAAGAGTTTTTGCAAAAGACAGGGAAATCTTAGCTGTGATGAAAGGATGAAAGGAAATATTATCACGAGTGGCAGTGAGTCTTTGTATCCCAGCTTTTTTTTTTGTTTATGCAACAAAAAGCTTAATCTGACACTGAAGTAAATTAGTCTTAATAAGAAGGTTTTCACAGATGAACAGCAAACTATTTGTGCAATTAAGGCACATGCACTCTGTAAACTGGGTGCTTGATGACACATTGAGGCTAAGTAGTAAGAAATGTTGGTGCATCAAAAGAGGAAAGTTACTACATGTACCCCTGTATTATTTCATTTTGAGATTTACATTACATATCATTCCTCTCTTTTCCTGTAAACCACTGCTCTAATTTGGTTGAGTTCATATTCAACTCAAGGGTGTATACATATATTCTCTTTACTCATGTCACAGTGTATAAGCAAAGCAATGAATGATGACTGAATTACATTAAGTTGCTTTGGTTTCAGGTCCTGATGCTTATTATGACAATGTCTGCAATCGGTTCATTTTACTGTGACAATGTGGGTAATGGGCTGAAATGTATTTTTGCCAGACATAGTCATTTTCAATATGACAGATAAGTAAGAGGTTATTACCATGCATCTAGTTTAATGGGAATAATGCAAAATTAGCTTATTTCCCTTATTGTTATCTAGTTGTTCAAAGGCAACACATTTGTTATATCTGATAATGAGAAAATGCAGTGAAATATTATTTTTTTGTGTCTCTATAACCCAGGTTAATCCATTACAATGTAATAAGTAGTTTGATTGTATGCAGTCCAATTCCTGTCTATGTCCTTTCATCGATTAATCTCCCTTTTGCTTGAATTTGTTTATAAAAGCTTCAGTTAAAAAATGCTTTGTGTGCAGGAAAGAATTGGTTGAGCATTTTAATGTTGTTGTGTGTCCCTCTCACCTGTTTTAGCTGAGTCTCTGAGTTGACATGCACATCACACGTCTCACAGTGAAACGTTTTGTTCTGCAGGCCCGTTAATGACTTGACGACTGGAGCCAGTTTGCTTTTGACTCCCGGCCGAGGGAAAGACTTGATGGAGCCCACGCCGGTCCTGGCCTCGAGCATCGTCTTGTGCTTCGTACCTGCAGGTTCAAACAGAGGCAGCACAGTCAGTACATTAACGTCACAAAACAGATGCTTGCCTGAAGGAGAGGTGAGATCAGAGGCTCACATCTGTTATCCCTTTTTCTGGTGTGGGAAGTATGAAGGTCAGACTTATAGATTCATCTACAAAGCCCCTGATAAAAGTAAAGAACCTTGTTAAAATTGTTCAGGAAAAATGTCATGTTTGCACAAATCTTTCACTCTTAGATGTCCCCGCAGGGCACTGTTAGCACTGAGGTTTATCTCAGCCTTTAAGTGACTGAACTTGCAAGTGCAAACACCATTTTTATTCCCATTTCCAATCTCTGCTAATACTCCTCTTGCCGTCTAGCACTCTTAAAAGAGGAGCAGCAGCTGCCATTCATAAGAAAAATCACACCAGCATCAGGGTTGAAATATATTCTTTTGTTAAGTTTATTGTATGTGAAGAAGGTAGTTAATCGCTGAATTTCTACACAATCGCCTAGGATCAGTGTTGAAGTGTTCTTTGTCTTATTTATTGAAGTATATTGGCTGTCTGTTAATACCTAATTAACAAATACACCGAGTGGGGATATGAAATAAGTCATCTATATCCATTAATCACGGCTTAATGCACAGAAATGTCCCATTGTTTTTGCCTCGTCCAATTACTAATGAACATTTAATTAAATGTTTGAACAAAAGAACAAATCAAATAGCAATCTATAAACAGGTGCTTGGCAGACACAAACAGACTGACATCCCCTAGATTGAAGGCAGTCCACAATAAATTACACAAGTGACCTCAAAGTTATTGATAGCCAAGCAGTGAGGGTCCAATGTTAACTCATATTGATCAGGCTTGTGTATATGACCTTTTAATTAGCAGCCTGCTGGAGCGGTTGTTTTAAGCTATTCTAAATAAATGGGGGGACATGTTTTACGAAACTACATTCCCACACAAATAAACTGCAAAATCAATTATGTTTTGAAGGAAAATGTGTTTTTCTCCCAAATAACTATCAGTTTAAAACACTTGGTAAACGTTGAAAACTGAAAGATAAAACAAAACAAGGTTAGGTTTAGTTACTAGTTTGAACAAGTACTTACCTCATAATTGGACTCATAACAGACATGTGTGTGTTTATTTGTGTAAGTGTGTGTGTATGATTTGAGTTTTAATGAACTTGCCAGCCCCGGGACAGATCTACTTGATTGTCGTGTGTGTTGCTGAGGAACCAAAGGAGTGCCGTGCCGTACTTGTAGTTGATAATAATTTAATTCCAGTTTTGGTTAAATTGCTGAAGTCACTCAAGTGATGTTTATCATTTATTTGCAGCAGATTTAGCAAACGTCTCTTACCGCTGTTGTGAGCGTCTAGCTGTGACGCCGAGTTGACCGCCACTTTGCACAGCGAGCAGTACAGAAGACGACGAGCTTTCTCCTCTTCTGTTTCAGCATCCGTCTCGACCTCGGGTTCGGCCTCAGGCTCCAGGTCTGGTTCTGAGGGTGAGTTTAATGTTGAGTCCCCTCCAGCAGCTGAGGTAGTCTCGGGGGCTGTGGCTGCCATAATGCTCGGGTCTATGGGTGAGGCCACGGGGGCCGGCGTTGGCATTGTGAGAGTCGTCAAGGATACCAAGGGTAGCGCCGATCGGAGCACCGGAGAAAGCGGCAGGGGCATTGCTCCAGGAACAACATCTACAGAGAGAGGGATTATTGTGTGATTTTAATCGTATGGCATTATTCATCACTTGGATGCAAATAATCATTGTGAGGTTCAACCAACCTGTGGGTAAACAGACTTTGAGATGTGGATTTAAAAGATACATTTACTAAAATAAATAGCTGAATCTAATTGCAGTAACAAGATGGGTTTCATTAGGGTTAAAAAATATCTTCTCCAAACACACAACACATGTGCAGCATTTGACCAAATACAGAAAGATGCACAACACCACGGAAACATTTACAAATCCACCAAAAGACATAACTTAACTACTTGGTAATGTTAAGGCAAGACAACTACTTGGTAAGGTTTAGTAAAACATTGTGGCTTGGATATAAAGATGTTTGTTTGTGATGTATTTGATGTTACTGACATAGATTAATGTTTTACCCATTCATCTATTCCCCTCCGTCTCCTCAAATTTGCAGACTACCACAGACTTTGATTATTAAACCATTATACATTTAAAACAAATGTAATACGGGATGAAATACTAGATATGCAGGAAAGTTCATTAAAGAGTAAGACCAACACAAGCAAACCAAGAAGCCGATAATAGTCAGACTTGTATTGTCAGTGTGTGAGATCACATTAACATGTAACACAAATAGCTTCGAGGTGTGAAAGAAATGTCTGATATTTTTAGGCAAAGGGACAGCAGCAGATCAATATATTTGACTCACAAAACAACAGCACATGTCAGTGTTTGGAATACAGAGGACTTGCTGCCACATATACGAAAATCTAATTTTGCCTTGGGAGCACAGCCTGATCGATGCCAATGCGTCGGAGTTCTCTGCACTCCAGCTTCACGAAATGAAGATCATCCCGCTACGAGAGCAAATCAATAGTGAATTATGTCATGCTATTTTTGTGAGCTATTATATATGGTCCTTATTTATCCCAGTGGAGGTGTTGGCAGTTGGCGTCACAAAACAGCTCCGAGTTACATTTTCAACGGGTTCACTTCTGCCAAAGGTTAAAAAAAAGACATGAAAGGTTAGGAACCATCTTTCTGTTACGACCTGTGGTTAAATAAGTATGGCCTCTCCTTTAGATAAGAAGGATCAGGAAAGAGCTTCTGAGTGGTGTCTATTTATTCAAGCTGAGTTTTTGAATAGCATCCAAGGATTGCAGCTTATTGCAATGGCACTCTGAATAAAAGCTTCAGCTAAATGCTTTAAATGTATGTAAATATATGCATTGTCAAGTATTTCAGTGTTGTGAGCATCCAAGCCATTAACCTTTTAAATGGGTTTGCGGCACATTTATACTTGTTGTTAGACTCTTCTTACAGTTGACTGACTCCAACTGTGAAATTTGCTGCACTTTCACGAAACTCGCTGAGTTCCCTGAATGCAGATCTCGAAAAGTAATGAACAGGAGCAGGTGGTAGATAACCGACACAAATATGACATTTGCATTGAAATGAAGAGGAAAGCTATAGGGTGGCTTGCTTCAGTGATATGCAACAGAATCATAAAACGTGTGATAAATGCCAGATTGTTTGCAGAGTTGGTGAGCTTCGAAGTAGAGCCTAAATGACAGTGATGCTGGTAATTGAAAACGTATATTTAACAGCGCTTTGACAACACAGGGTTCAAGAGCAGGGCTATTATTTCGAAAGGGCTCTCTTTTTGAGGGCTCTGCAAGCCATAGTAGCTGATTTTCCACCAGGTTGGAAACAATTACCGAATTTTCACAACATGGATCCAATGGGATCCAGGCATTGCAGGAGAAGGAATTAATGAATTAATTTGTATTTGATTAAAGTAAGGAATGGTGAAAAGTTAATTCAGGTTTCTCCTTCTTGGACTTCAGAAAAAAAACCTTGAGAGAGTAAAAGACTGGAAGGGGATATCAGGTTATCAAATACTGTTTGCCATCTTATATAATGTGTACTATCCAGTCAGGAAACAACTAGCCTATTTGTTCTTTTGTGTTTGGCCTGACAAGCAGCCCATCTACTCTTTGAATGAAAGTCAACATCAGCAGGGAAATCAAGAGCCTTGCCACACTCTCAGCTCTCCCCTCAGCATGACAGTCCATTACAATTCCCACATAACTGCAGAGAAAGCATCAATCCGCATGTTGAGCTCTATCTCACCCTGACTCATGAACAAGACCAAGGTACTTGCACTCTTTCACTCGGGGTAGATACTGTTTTGTAAAAAGCCATATTAAATTCAAGTCTGATGTTTTCAGATGCACTGTTAATATCCATCTCCATCTTCTCCCACTTATCCGTGGTCGGGTCGCGGGGGTAGCAGTTCCAGCAATTCCAGCAGAGAGCCCCAAACTTTCTTTTCCCTGGCCACATCAACCAGCTCTGACTGGGGGATCCCAAGGTGCTCCCAGGCCAGCGAAGAGATATAATCCCTCCACCTGGTCCTAGGTCTACACCTTGGTCTCTTCCCAGCTGGACGTGCCTGGAACACCTCCCTAGGGAGGCGCCCAGGTGGCATCCTTACTAGGTGCCCGAACCACCTCAACTGGCTCCTTTCGACACGAAGGAGGAGCGGCTCAACTCCGAGTCCCTCCCTGATGACCGAACTTCTCACCTTATCCCTAAGGGAGACACCAGCCACCCTGCGGAGAAAACCCATCTCGGCCGCTTGTATCCGCGATCTCGTTCTTTCGGTCATGACCCATCCTTCATGACCATAGGTGAGGGTAGGAACGAAAATCGCCCGGTAGACAGAGAGCTTTGCCTTCTGGCTCAGCTCCCTTTTCGTCACAACGGTGCGGTAAAGCGACTGCAGTACCGCTCCCGCTGCTCCGATTCTCCGGCCCATCTCACGCTCCATTGTTCCCTCACTCGAGAACAAGACCCCGAGATACTTGAACTCCTTCACTTGGGGTAAGGACTCATTCCCTACTTGGAGTGGACAGTCCATTGGTTTCCTGCTGAGAACCATGGCCTCAGATTTGGAGGTACTGTTAATATCTCTATATTTAAAATGATAAACTGGATTTCATGGGATTGTGAATAAGAGTGCATTAAGCGGCTTCTTTTTTCAATCTCCCAGTGTTTCTGCAGCAGTTATTTTATACTGTTTAGAGTGCCCTGGAGAGTATCTGTCCATCACCTGACCAGATGACCTTAAGCAAGGGCATCTATAGATTAAGGTTGCCATCAGAGAATTGATCGTTGGTGATGCAATGTTGTGTAGCGATAACTAATTGACCTCTACCCGTTTATCTGTGTGCTTTCAGTGGACACTGCCTGTGAACTGATCTTAAGAAGAACATATGGCATGAAAAGGCCATTATTCCAGGCTGTTACACTCAATGCTATGACTGGAACATGTATTTAAAGACTCTGGACTCTGAGAAGGGGGTCAGTGACTTCAGTTATTAGTTGTGCGTAATTTATGTTCTGTTTAAATTGAGATAAGGCTGAATACGCTACACGCAAGAGCCAGAAAATCTATACAGATCTTCTTATCCAAAACGGCTATTCTTAGATTTAATAAAATCACATTAATATTGATACAAACAATGGAAAGAAGACATCAGCACTCCCACATTTGTACTTTAGCGAAAGCAATACATCTTTCCGGGTATGTTGATATCATCAGTTACTATTAAACCCAAATAACAAACGACATCAATGACCTTAGTGTAATGTACATTAACATGTCAGATCAAGCCCAAGCCATTACCAATAGAACAATAATTAATCTGTGAACTATTTATGATGTGGCTGACCTTGTCACTCTTGATGAATAATGTGTATGCCTTGAGCAGAGCGGCAGCGACCTCTTCGTCCCCTGCAATTAGCAACCACCTACCCCCAGTCGGCTCTTGTGTGCCAGGCATCAAAACAACCTGAAATCACAGAGATTAGCTCACTCGATTTCACCGTGCTCACCAACGAGCTTAAAGCTGCCATCACACCTGCTTCTCTGGGCAGCTTTGCAATGGCACGGACACCAGGCTGTGTGTGTTTCCAGAAAAGTGCAAGTAAAGGTTTTGGTGGTGATGTGAGCCAGCAATGTTTTGCCTGTGAATTGTTATTTAACTGCTTTTTGCATATTCTCTGGTCATTGTTAGGGATAATGTGTTGGTGCCGTGATGTGTTTGACGCATTTCTTTTTGAAGATGGCCCTCATGTTTCCTCTTTCATTTATAAGCAGCTGGGAAGTATAATGTTTCTCTGGAACAGACTGACTGCATTGACACAGGGTTCTGATCAGAAACGAGCAGTTGGGGAATAGTACATTGTTTTGGTGCTATTATTAAGGAAAACTCAACAACATTTTGACAATATGCTTATTTGCTTTGATTTGTGGAATGTGAAGATCAATAGCAATTTATTTAATATGAATTCAGCAGATGGCTCCATGATATGTTGAGCCTATCTTAGCACAGAGACTGAATTTAAGAGGAAAACACCTTCCAAAGCTTTTATTGGATGTATTCTTCTGAAAAGTTCAATTTTGAATATATCAGCTTCCACTGACTGGCTTTTTTACTGAGATATTCAATTTCTCTGTCTCCATCAGTGAATGGTGTCTGCTAAGCGTTTAATAGTGAGTGTGCTAAAACCAGTAGCCTATACAATTTATCAACAAATCGAATAGGTGTCAAAACTGTGCAAGGATGATAAACCACCATGTTTGCTTAGCTAATAATTAGCGAAACACCTATACATTCATAACTCTCTTGTAAAACCCAAACTGGTCAAGTGGACACTTCTGATATTTTCTGATCAAACAGAGAAATATAAATGGGCAGCTCTAGAAATGTTGTTTTATGCTAAGCTAGGCTAATCGATTCTTGGCTCCATCTCAACGCACAGACTTGAGAGTATCAGCATTCCTCTCATCTAATCGACAGCAATATAGCAAATTATTGTATTTCCCATAAAAATTAGAAAACATTTAATTTGAATGACGTGTAAACACAGCTTTGGAGTCGTTAGAAGACACTTTTGACACAAAATGTTTGGCATATATGAGATCTTCAT